AATATAAATAATAATATAATAAGTAATATCTACCAGGTATGAGGATATCTACATTTATAAAAAGTTAATTAGTAAACATAAAATGAATCACAACTCTAAATATTTCCTGGAAGAATTAAGACATATCAGTGATAGTGGTTGGAGAAATGGCTCAGTGGTTAAGAGTATTTGTTGCTCTTCCAGAGGACCAGAGTTTGGCTCACAATATTCATGTTAGATGGCTTGTAACCATATGTAACTCCAGTTCCAAGGGATCGAAAACCCTTTCCAAGCTTCTTTTTGCATACACACTCATATGCACATTCCCACATACAGATACAGACAAAAATACACATAATTTTAAAATGAAAAATAAAATCCTTAAAATATATCATTCAGAAATATAAATGGAATGGAACATCTGTTTCTTAGGATGATGCTAAAACTAAATGAAATAAAAAAATGTGTTTGGATATTTTTAGGAAATGTGTTTAAACAATGATAAAAATATTTTCAATGTAAAGAAACAAAAAAAAAATCACTGAATGTGTCTTAGTCTTTAATGACTAGGCCATCTCTTCAGTTCTGGATGATTCATCCATATTAACTAGCTTTCATAGTTTTGGAAGGTGCTATGTATGCTACCTGAGGAGAAAAGTAATTCATTTTACACAGATATGAACTCTGTAAGAAAGCTTCTGTAATAGTGGCAAAGATATCAAAGGATTAACAAACCCTTTTTTCACTGGATTTGAGTTCCAATTCATAATGACCCAGGTGTAGGCCATAAACAACTACAGGATGGTCAACTCTAAAGGGTTATGTATACTACCCCCTTTCAGTGCCAAAAGATCATTTTAGAAGCATATATGAGCCAGAGGTGGAGAATAACTACAAGGAAATAGTATATTGTGATACAGTAAGGAAGCTATATACATTAACTCAGAGTAGTTGTAACATCATACAAGAGACCTAAACCCCAGCAAGTAATAGGAACTGGATGTGAAATTCCATCCCTAGCAGGAGGATAGGGGGCAGGGGAGCAAGGGGGGCGGGGGGCGAAGGGGGGGTGGGGGGAGGCAGGGACCCAGCATGCCCGAAGGCTGCGGCTGAGTCCCTGGAACAGGGACAGGGACAGCCCGTGAAGGTGCAGGGACTGCTGTTGCAGGGGAGAGAGCTTCGCTGACCTCTGGAGCAGGGAGCACGGGGGGTGCGGAGAGAGGCTTGTCTCACCGTTAGGGAGAGTGCCCCGCAAAATGAGAGGTCCCCCCCCCCGTGGGCGAGTTTTCCACTTACACAAGAAAGTCCAGAGTCCCAGGAGACACGTGGAATTGAAGATATGGAAGTTTTATTGGTCATATTGATGGTTGTCTCTGAATGGTGCTCTCCCACAAAATGCCAGGAGGGGCTCCATTATATTGGGGAGGGGGGAGGAGGGGCTAGGGAGATGAAAATTTAGATATCTATGCCCCAGCCTTTAGGTAATTAATTAATATGTCAATCTTGAGGCAGAGATATGACCTAGCATGCAGGTTAAATGGAGACTGCATGTTAGGTCTCTGGGCTCTGGGGGAGTGGCCAAACACCCCAGGATTTCTACAGTCCAACAAATATCCTGTGAATAGGCTTTAGCCCAGTTGTTTACAGAAATGTTATTTCCCTTGGAAGCCCTAGAGTTTGCCCTCCTTAGTCCATACTATTCTCAGCACTGTCTTCCAAGCTCCTAGTTGAATGGAAAATGTAGTTCCACTTACAGTGTTTAACTGATTTTCTAGTCCAAAGTTCCAAAGTTTTCTGTTTCTCAAAACAAGCAAACAAACAAACAAAAAACAGCAGGGAAAGATTCTTCATAGCAACACTCCACTCTTTGGTAATCAATGCTTTATTAGTTACTTTTGTTTGCTGTGATAAAATACCACAATCTAAAGTGACTTATGGAAGAAAGTTTATCATTTTTTTCAATTTCCATTATTTTATTTATTTACATTTCCATCCCTTCCCCCTGTCTTGGTTCCTCCTCCCACAGTTCCTCATCCCATTCCTCTCCCCACTTGCCTCAGAAATGTTCCCCTCCAGACCTCCCTCCTCCCTGGTGCCTCAAGTCTCTCAAGGATTAAGCACATCTTCTCTCACTAAGGCTTGACCAGGTAGACTTTTGCTATGTTTGTGCCAGGGACCTCAGATTGGCCCTTGTATGCTCCTGGTTGGTGGATCAGTCTCCCTGGGGTCTGGGTTAGTTGAGACTACTGGTCTTCCTATGCAGTTGCTCTCCCTATGTAGTCACTCTCCAATTCAGCTTGTTCAATTCTTCCCCTAATTCAACTATAGGAGTCCCTGGCTTCAGTTCAATGATTGGGTGTAAGTATCTGCCTCAGTCTCAGTCATGGGCTCGTAGGACCTCTCAGGGGACAGCCATGCGAGGCTCCTGTCTGTAAACACATCATAGCATCAGTAATAGTGTCAAACTTTGGAGTACCCCCACAACCCCCATCATATGGATCCCTAGTTTGGCCAGTCATTGGACTGCCTTTCCTTCCATTTCTTCTCCATTTTTGTCCCTGCAATTCTTTTAGGTAGGAACAATTCTGGGTCAGAAATTTTAACTGTGGATTAGTAACTCTATCCTTCCACTTGAGGTCTTGTCTATCTACAGGACATGGGTTCTTCGAGTTCACTCTCCCCAATGTTGAACATTTTGGCTAAGGTCCTCCCATTGAGTCCTTAGAGTCTCTCACCTCCCTGGTTTCTGGTACTTTCTAGAGTGTTCCCTCTCCTCCCCCAATCAACTCCCCCCCCTGCTACTTATCTCCATTTATTCTCTTGACCCTTTGGGCTTCTGTCCTGTTGCACCCATACCTGATCCTGTTCCCCCCTTTTCTCTCCCCCTCCACTCTCCCATCCAGGTCCCTCCCTCCCTCTGACTCCTGTGTTTATTTCCTTCCTCCTCCTAAGTGGAACTGAAACATCCTCACTTGGGACATTTTACTTGTTACATTTCTTATAGTCTGTGAGTTGTGTCCTAGGTATTCTGTATTTTTTGGATAATAGCCACTAACCAGTGAGTAGATACCATGTATGTCAATTTAGGTCTGAGTTACCTCACTCAGGATATTTTCTAATTCCTTCCATTTGCTTAAAAAATTTATGATGTGCTCATTCTTTTTTATTGTATATTTTATTTATTTACATTTCAGATGCCTTCCTCTTTCCCCATTTCCCCTCCCTAGAAACCCCCTATCCCATCCTCCCTCCTTCTTTTTGTTTTTATACCATTTTAATTACATACAAGTATTAAGGTCAGTTCTAGGTTGAGGAACTAGCAATACAATAGATGCAAATAGTCAAGGGACAAGCAAGACAATAAACACAAATAGTCAAAGAACAAGCAAAACAATAAACAAAATTCCATGAACACTCCTGTGATCACTATTTCTAAGGATTTATCAGAATGACCAAAATATCTGAGCCAACTTCTCTGTCCTATCCCAGTCATTTTCATGTCTGAAGTCTGCTTCCTTGTTCTAGCCTAAAATTTAGATTCTTGGCTGAAATTACTTCTTTGTTCTAGTCTAATATTTAGATTCCTGTCAGAAATTATGTCTTTGTTCTAGCTGAAGATTTAGATTCTTGCCTGAAATTACTTCTTCGTTCTAGCCTAATGTCAGAGACCTGCCTGAAGGCCACTTCCTTGCCCTTGGCCAATGTTAGATTCCTGCCAAACTGCCCATTTCCTTGTCCTTGGCCCATGTCAGATTCTTGCCAAGCAGCCCCAAAGGCTCTCCCCATCTCCCCCCTTTTTATTTCATAAACAAGACTGAGCCTGTCTCAGGTCATTCTGAAAGAATGTTTATTTTTCATTGTTGATTTTTTTAAAATCAGTTTTGCTTTGTAGTACAGCTTGAGGTCAGGGATGGTTATTCTCCTGGAACTTCCATTATTATTGAGAATTATTTTGGGTATCCTGGGGTTTTTGTTTTTCCATATGCAGTTGAAAATTGCTCTTTCCATATCTGTGATGAATTGTGTTGGAATTTTGATGGAGAGAGCATTGAATCTGTATATTGCTTTTGGTAAAATGGCCATTTTCACTATATTATTCCTACCAATCCATGAGCATGGGCCATCTTTCCAAATGATCATCTCATTAGATGCTGAAAAAGCCTTTGACAAAATACAACACCCCTTCATGTTAAAATTCTTTGAGAGATCTGGAATTCATGGCACATATTTACACATAATAAACACAATATATAGCAAATCAACAGCCTACATCAAATTAAATAGATAGTAACTAGAAACAATCCCACTAAAATCCGGGATAAGAGACCAAGTTGTCCACTCTCTCCCTATCTATTCAATATAGTATTCAAGGTTCTAGCCAGACCAATTAGACAACAAAAGGACAAAAGGAGATCAAGGGGATACAAATTGGAAAGGAAGAAGTCAAAGTATTACTATTTGCAGATTATATGATAGTATACATAAGCGACTCCCCCCAATTTCACCAGAGAACTCCTATAGCTGATAAACAACTTCAGCAAAAATTAACTCAAACAAATCAGTAGTAGCCTTCCATTACATAATAGATAAACAGGCTGAGAAAGAAGTAACGGAAACAACACTCTTCACAATAGCCACAAATAGTACCTAATATCTTGGTGTAACTCTTACCAAACAAGTGAAAGATCCATAAGACAAGAACTACAAATATCTGAAAAAGAAATTGAAGAAGACCTCAGAAGAAAGTTTATGTTTGATTATGCTTTCAGGGGTAGGTAGAATCTCTAACAGCTAGAGAGGCATGACAGCAGATGGCTGGGTCAGGGAACTGAGAGATCCTTCAGGATAATAGAGAGGTAGCAAAGTCCATGGTGATAGTAATGATGTTGGCATTCACTAGTAGAAGTAGGGACAGGAGGGTCCATGGCTTGTCATCTGAGATTGTAGACATGACTACCTTCTGTCTATAATACTCTTGCTATGTATAATCTTGGGAGATTCCAAAATATACAAGTGGATGGTTATCTGAACGGGCTACTTGGTGCAATGCTCATGACGTTGTCACTAATGACAAAAAGAATTTGCCACACATAAGCTATTTAAGGATCACTCATGTTCCCATGAGTAACCTGCTACTCATGTTCCTCAAGTAAGCCTAACAATCTCAATGGCTCACCAAGTTGGACTTTGGTAGAATTTTTATTTGACTTGTTCCTAGTGCTTGATGTACAGTGAATAGATGTTCATATTTCCTCAGGGAAACTTAATAGCGCTTCCAAACTAGCATTACATGTATAACACCAAAGCACATTGCCAGCTAAAATGATGAGGAGATCTTCTTAGACTATGGCTTCAGTAGTCTCTGTGTGATTGAACTAAAGAATGTAAAAATATTTCTTCTGGTTGTTCCATGTTCACAGGTTTATTCTTTGTTGCACTGTGTAATCTGTTGGTGAAATCAATTACCATATTATTTTTAGAAATTTTTGTAAAAGACAAAAATATAAATTAATAAAATATTTAAATATGTAAATCAACCCTGTGATTGTTCCTTATAGGATGCAGAGAAGCATTAACAATAAACAGTCTTTAGTTCCATGTAGCTGAAATGTTGTGTACTCCAATGAGAGACAGTAATGCTTCCTGATTCCAATCCTGTTGGTAGTACCATTGGGTTAATGGGTAAATCTCACTTGAATTAATGAATATTTGCTATGGGCTCTATACTACTTTTGTCTATTATTAACTTGTCCTTGTGACTGTAAAAATACAACTTCGTTGTTTCTCCTTAGAGAAATAAACATAGGTGACACGAATATCAAGAAAGATATGCACACTGATGAAAGAAGTCTGATTCCTCACCAGTATTCTAGGTGTGACCTTTTATATCCCATTAAGAAATTCCAAAGGCTTTGCTCATATGGGAAAAAGATACCCATAGCAAGCTTGACACATAGGTAGTACCTTAACATATACTGTTTTGCTTAAGAAAAAATATCACCAGGCTCAAAGGTTAGGAGCACTGTTTGCTCTTCTAGAGGACCTGAGTTGATTCTCAGCATTTACATGACATCTTACAGCTGACTGTAACTCTAATACCTGTGGGCAGTGTATATACATGCTCAGACATATATGCATGCAAAACATGCATACACATAAAGTAAAATAAAATAGATTTATTGTCCACAATAACCATCAGATATTTGTACATGAGAGGAGAGGTATTGCCAATAAAAGGTATATTATTAAACATAAACACAGCTTTAGATAGATTTTTTAGGGTTTTGGGGACTGTAGGATATTGGTAAAGTACAATAATCAATAAATTAAAATTTCCTTCCTGGGTTATTACTCTATAGTCTCTTCATTTTTTCACATGGACTTTGTATTTGCAGAACAAAACAAGAACTTTTAACCATGGGCAGATGTTAGCAGATGTTTCAACAATATAAACTTATATTGAATAAAGATTCAGATATATTTTTAGTCTAACTCCTGTAAATAAATATGTCACTAGTAGAGTAGTTCAATTTTTGAAATCAAGTGTGAAGAAATTATATAAATATACCAAGGAGCCCAGTGGCCAGAAGCTTTTGAGACTATCTGGATCAAACATAGTGGCCTTTCAATGTTTACCCAGGACAATTGTCACAATGTGTATTCAGAGCCGAGATTGTCCTTGGCATCTAAAGCATCAACACTGGTGTTACTAAAGACTCCAAGTGTCCCAAGAAGGCTATGACTTAGAAGTCTTTAAATAACTCTTATTTCCCTTCTTAACACAAGGAACAGAAAGCCAAATTTCTGGCTATCTAGACATCCACCATTTGAGTTCCTACCTTTCCCACACCACTTACCTCAGAATGGAATAAATACAGAAAATTATCATGACAACGCACACCAGAATCATGCTCAGGATCATAGTCATATCATCCAACCACATAGAATCCAGGTCAAACTGTGTATCTGAAAAGAAGACTGGGTGGAGATACAAGAATTAGGAAATTCAAAGCATAGAAAGGAAGGCTTCATTACAGATTTTTGATAAATCCACTTTTCAGGATCCTATTATTCTGTACTTTTAGATATACATAGTTGGGGAAGAAAAGATTTTGGGTCATATAGATGAATTTAAAGATGAACATATTTGGGTTAGGTCTAGAAGATGTGAGAAAGCAAATAATCATTATTCTGTTCAGAGTAGCATTACACATGATCAAGCTGGCCAGAACCTGAGGATTCATGCATATATATTACACTTTTGTCTCCTTTATCAAGTGATGAGAGCCCAGGGTATACTAAAGGTTATGGTGAAATAGTGCTGTCAGGAGGAGTAGACTCTCTGACGTTGATGATCTTACAAGTTTCAAAAGTAGTATGCTCATGTACAGCATAAACCTCCATTAGAAGTACATTTCCTAGGTGATTATGAAGTGAAAACCATTCTCAGATTTCCAAACTGATTATTTGTCTCTGTGATAGTAATACTAATGTTGACAATTACACATAACCTTTTTCATTAATTCATAATTAGATTTTTAAATTAATTATTTTATTTATTTGCATTCCAAATGTCATCCCTTTCCTGGTTCCCCCTCCCAGAGTTCTTCACTCCCCTCCCCCTTCCCTTTGCCTCAGAGAGATAATTATGTTGATTAGAAACTACTTACTTAAATTAGCTGTAATTATTAAACTGACTAATGACTTGATAGTTACTCAGAAAATAGAAAGTATATACATATTAGAAGACTCAAAATTTACATTTTTGTTATATTACCAAAGAATTTAAAGTGGGATCTAGAAGAGATATTTATTTGTATGTCTAGGTTCATAGTAGCATTTTGTGTAACAACTAGAACATGTAGGCATCTGAAGTGCCCATCAGTGGATGAATGGATAAGCAAAATATCTAATAGTAATACAATGTACTTTTAACTTAAGAAAGAAATTCTACAGTATGAAAAATAAGAAATAAACTTTGAAACTATTATACTGAATGAAATATCAGTTCAAAAACAAACATTACAGGAGCCTACTATATAAAGCACTTAATCTAATTAAGAATATACAGGAAAAAAGTAGGATGATAATTTCCAGGAACTGGAGGTAGGGATAGCCAAAGTCAGGGAGTTACTAAAGGTTTAGAAAGAAAAAATATTTTGGAAATAGATAGTGATGATGTTTGCATAGAAATGAAAATGTACTTGAAAACATACTTAATAACATTGACATTATTAAGATGGTAAATTTTATATTATATATATTTAGCTTGAATAAAACAGCTTTTTTTCTTTTCAAGACTCATGTTATGAAAATTAAACAACTTCCATACAGTGGGAAAATGTTCGTAAAATATATGTTGACAAATGCATTGATTTTTGTCCTATAGATATCAAGAATGTGTACCCTGGCTGGGCATGGTGGTGCATGCCTTTAATCTCAGCACCCAATTGACAGAGGCAGGCAGATCTCTGTGAATTTGAAGCCAGCCTGCTCTACAAAAGGAGTCCAGAACAGCCAGGGCTATTTGAAAAACAAAACAAAAACCAAGATAAAACAACAACAACAAAAACAAAAATGAAAAGAAAGGAAGGAAGGAAGGAAGGAAGGAAGGAAGGAAGGAAGGAAGGAAG